TTTTTTGACAGTCTTGCTCTATCACCCAGGCTGGAGTGCAGTGGTGTGATCTCAGCTCACTGTAACCTCTGCCATCCAGGTTCAAGCCATTCTCCTGGCCTCAGCCTCCCAAGTAGCTGGGACTACAGGTGCACGCCACCACGCCTGGCTAATTTTTGTAATTTTTAGTAGAGATGAGGTTTCACCATGTTGGTCAGGCTGGTCTCAAACTCTGACTTCAGGTGATCCGCCTGCCTCAGCCTCCCAAAATGCTGAGATTACAGGTGTGAGCCACCACGCTGGCCTTACTGTCCATCCATACTGTGCATGTAAAAATTGCAAATGTTTCAGTATGTATCTCTAATAGAAAAGGATTTTCTTAGTAGCCTAAATGTTGTCATGCTAATTTTGTTTTTATCACAACTACTTCATACTGCATAGATCTTTCCAAGATTCTGTGTGTCTGCTTTGGCCTCTGACTCTCAAGGCAGATGGTTTCCTCAGGGCCGAGTGATCCTCAGTGCTCTGCTCATGTTGAGAAGCTGGCTGGCAGCTCTGTGCGCGTGGGCAGGCCTGCTGAGTGTGCTCTTCACTGTAGAATGATCTAGCTTGGTCATTTCCTTGGGATTCTTCTGGTGTCATAAGTTTTAGGATTTTTTTTCTGGCCAGGTGCAGTGGCTCACACCTGTAATCTCTGCACTTTGGGAGGCTGAGGCAGGCTGAGCACAAGGTCAGGGGTTGACGACCAGCCTGGCCAGCATGGTGAAACGCTGTCTCTACTAAAAATACAAAAATTAGCCACGCATGATAGCATGCTTCTGTGACCTCAGCTACTTAGGAGGCTGAGGTGGGAGAATCGCACTGCACTCCAGCCTGGGTGACAGAGTGAGACTGTTTCCAGAACAAAAAGATTTTCTGTCTTAGGCCTTGTCAGGTTCCCTAAAGGACACTTTCCCAGTGTCACACCTTGGTATATGCCTGGATTCTGGCATCCTAGAGCCGGGCTGGGAAAGAAAGGTGGACATCTTAAGATTCGATCGTGAGATTTCTTTGAAACCGTGTTTTCAGTCCAGTGCCTCACCTTCTAAGAACCAGAGACCCTTCATTTTATTCTCAGGAATAGAACCTTCCAGTCTTCTGGCAGGCGGTGGAGGGGTGAGAGTGGTACACAGCAGCACACTGGAGCCAGGGGCTCTGCAGGTCCCATTTCCCCGTACACAAACTTTGACCAGAACCACCTGCTTTCAGCTCCAGCCCCTGCTCCCTGCTGTCCCCAATTCCAGAGGCCTGTGGGGGGTCAGCGGTGCGAATGAGATTGCCTCTTGGCTTTTCTCACTGAGAACCCTGTGGGAGTTAGTGATGTCAGAGAGATTGCCTCCTGCTTTTTCCTCACTGCCAGCTGACCATTGGGTTTTCTGAGCTCCGCTAGGCCAGTTACCACCTGGCCATCTGCTTCTCATTTTCCAGCTTTTGTTACCATTTTCTTCTCTCCAGTCACCTTGGTCTGCATGTTTATGATCATTTTGGTGTTATGTATTGTTCACGCTTATTGCGGTGAATGTTGGTGCCGTGTCTTGTTTTAACAGGGTTTGGGGAGAGCTAAGGAAGGGCCTTTTTCAGTCTTCTCTTTTTAACCAGATTGAAGTCATGGCTTTAAAAACCAAAACAAACGTGATTTTAATGGGAAAAACAGGAAATTGGTTAAATTGGCTGTTTTCTTGTTTAGTCCTTTTTAAGACAACAGAAATTGTCATTGAGTGGAACATGCTTTGTGGGGAAGTAAATGTGAGATATACTTTGAAGGAAGAGAAACAGGCTTCTCAGCATCGCATAGAACACCGTGGTGAGGAAGATCTCGGGCATCCTCTCACGCTGACATTTCCTAATCCCAAAGGACTTAACACTAGAAACACAGAAGCTAATTAGTGGCTTTGTGTGTGTGTTTTGCAGATGGTATCATCAGACCGAAGCCGGCTTTCCTTCCTGCCCACAGAAGCTCAAGCCCAGGTGTCCCCACCGCCCCCGTACCCTGCGCCCCAGGAGCTCACCCAGCCTCTCCTGCAGCAGCCCCACGCCCCGGAGACCCCTGCCCAGCAGCCCCCGGCAGCCTCTTCCCTTCCACAGTCAGACTTTCAGCTTCTCGCAGCCCAGGTCGGTCCCAGCAGGAGCGTTGCTGTGGAGGGAGCGCTTGCTTTGCTCTGAGCCCCAAGCTCACTGGTCACCTTCTTGTTTCCTAAAGGGCTCATCTTTGACCAGCTTCTTCCCAGATGTGGGTTTTGACCAGCAGTCCATGAGGCCAGGCCCGGCCTTTCCTCAACAGGTGGGTGATCGCCCCCTGCCTCCGGCTCCCTTGCTGCATAAAGTCTACCATTTAGGTTGTTCAGTGTGTAGAACTCATAACCCAGCAGACCACACACGCCCCTTCCCTGGCTCTGGATGTGTTCTGTGGCCCTGAAACGCTGGCACTGGCTGCCATATTTAGTATCAGGCTTCAGCAGAGAAACTTGGAACAAGTGGCAGGAGACTTCTGAGGGCACTCCCGCCATAGAACTGTAAGTCACTAATGCTGGAAGGGACACAGCACCGCCTCATCAGTGCCGTCATGTTGAAACCGAGGCATAGGGAGGGTGGCGCCTGCTCCCACCGCAGGGTGAGAAGGTGGCGCAGCGTTTGGCCTAGAGCCTGCCTGGGGCACCCCGCACGGTGTGGCCTCCTAGGAGAGCTCGGGCCTGGGGAGGGAGGGGAGTTCCTTCTGGAAGGCATTTTAATTCAGCCGCTTTCTCTTGCAGTTTAGTTTCACCCTAACGTTGGTTATTTTTAATGCTCCTAGGTTTCATAGTATTCGGTAATATTCAGTAAACATGGACGGGGCTTTATGACGGATTGCGGAGTGGATGTGGGTGGAGCAGGTGCCAGAACTGTCTGAGATGGAGTCTCACTCTGTTGCCCAGTCTGGAGTGCAGTGGAACGATCTCGGCTCACTGCAACCTCTCCCTCCCGGGTTCAAGCTGTCCTCCTGCCTCAGGCTCCTGAGTAATTGGAGTTACAGGCATGCACTCCCACACCTGGATAATTTTTGTACTTTTTGTAGGGTTGGGGTTTCACTGTGTTGACCAGGCTGGTCTTAAACTCCTGACCTCAAGTGATCTGCTCACCTCGGCCTCCCAAAGTGCTGGGATCACAGGCATGAGCCGCTGCACCCAGCCAAGAACTTAATAACTTAACATAGTGTTTCCAAAGCAGGCCACGGATGAAACTTTGTGGCAAGAACCAGTCCTTCTTGCCTCCCTGTTTCCCAAAGAGCCATTTTTGTCTAGGGGGGAATCAGTGTCTCCCTGAAAAGTGATGGAAAATCGTTTTTTTTTTTTGAGACAGAGTTTTGTTACCCTGGGTGGAGTACAATGGCACGATCTCGGCTCACCACAACCTCCGCCTCCTGGTTCAAGCAATTCTTCCGCCTCAGCCTCCTGAATAGCTGGGACTACAGGCGTGCGCCACCATGCCCAGTTAATTTTTGTGTGTTTCTCAGTAGAGACGGGGTTTCACCATGTTGACCAGGGGAAACTTGTTTTGAGACGTTTTTTTAAAATGGGTTAGAGAATTAATTTCAGAAAAGGAACGTAAAATTGGCCCCAGTTATAACCATTTCTCATAGAGGCTTTCTCATAGGGAGGAGTTCGCCTGAGCTTCCTCCTTCTGATGGTGAAAAGGAAAGTTTTCCACTTTCTCAGTATTCTAGAAACCAGGGAAGAGGCCAGGCACAGCGGCTCCAGGAGGCGGAGGCAGGTGGCCCGCTTGAGCCCAGGAATTTGAGACCAGCCTAGGAAACATACAGCAACACCCCATCTCTACAAAAAATACAAAAATCAGCCAGGCATGGTGGCATGTACCTGTGGTCTCAGCTATTTGGGAGGCTGAGGTGGACGGATCACTTGAGCCTGGGAGGTGGCAGCTGCAGTGAGCCAAGATGGCAACACTGCACTCCAGCCTGGGTGACAGAGACCCTGTCTGTAAAAAGGAAGAAAGAAATCAAGGAAGGAAAGAGTTCTTACTTCCTCAGCTACGGACAGAGCCTGTGAAGGGTTCCCACAGAAGGCAGTTTGCAAAGGCCTTGGTGAGGCTGAGGCGCGCTGTCAGATTCAGGCCACAGAAACCACGACCACTGGTCTCTTGGGCGGACGTAGTGAGCTGGGGAACGGTCACCACACCCTGTGGCCCTCAGGGATCCTGGAAAGAAGGGGGTATCTATCAATCAGTTTTCAAGTCAGGTTCTTCCCTGGAAGCAGAGGCGGGTCTTCCTCACCGCGCGACCTTTGATGCCTCCAGGTGCCCCTGGTGCCACCAGGCTCCCGAGACCCGCAGGACTCTTTCCATTTGAGACCAAGCCCATATTCCAACTGTGGGAGTTTTCCTAACGCCGTCCTGACAGGTGAGTGCGCCGTCCCTCAGCTTCACTCCTTTCCTTTCGCTGTGTTTTCAGATAACTTTAAAGGCAGTTTAAACAACGTGACATAAAAAGCAAAATACAAACGTCCCCTGGCCTGGCTCGACGACTCTGTGAGATGCAGGTGTGCAGCCTTAGAGACAGTGAGGCAGGGCAGTGGGCCAGGCAGTCAGAGCCTTTCCTGAAGATTGCGTCTTAGGTGGCTGATGACTGTTGAAAAGGGAAAAACCTGCAAAATTGGGAGCTGTGCAACTGACAAGAATGTCGATTCCAGGGCAAGAGCTATGGGCCTGGGGGTGGTCAGGACGCATGGGATGGCAGTCTAGGGGACCTTCGTCAGCTGGGTTTGCCCAGTAGCCTGGAGACCTCACACCTCCTAACACACAGTTTTCTTCCCCTCTGGACCTCCTTTCAGAAGACGCCAGCTCCAGCCTGTTCAAAGACCTCAGCAGCGCACTGGCAGGCCTGCCCGAGGTCAGCCTGAATGTGGACACTCCATTTCCACTGGAAGAGGAGCTGCAAATCGAACCCCTGAGCCTGGACGGACTCAACATGTTAAGTGACTCCAGCATGGGCCTGCTGGACCCCTCTGTTGAAGAGACGTTTCGAGCTGACAGACTGTGAACAGACTCCAGGGCAACAGCCAACACAGAATGGAATAGAATGGAGCCAGCTGCCACCCCGGGCTGTAGTTATCTTGACACGGAAGGAGCCAGTGCCACAGTCTAGGCTTTCCAGTGAGGTCCCGTCACAGACACGGTGGCGTCCTCCAGGTCACACAGCCATGTCCTGCTGTCCGGCCTGTGGCCAACTTCGTGTTGCAGCAGGTGGGCTGCTTGGAGCTGCCGTGGACTGGAAAGCTTCTCTCCACTCCGTCTTTGTGTTGGCCATCCAGTCAATCGCTGTGCAGAGCGATCGATGTGCAGTGTCACGGGAGGCCTCCATAGCATCGCGTAGTGCTCAGAACCACTGATTTCCGTCCGCACCAACGGTGGGCCTGGAGCAGCGGCGGGAGGGAGCGCCTCGATGCCTGCTCAGACCTGACCCGGAGGGCGAGCCCCTCTAGCAGAGGACATCCCCAGGCTGAGCGGACACCCCGGCTCTCGTCCGTGCCTGAACGACAACATGAAGTTTTGCCCTAAGTCTGGGGCAGGCTGGAGTCAGGCAGACGGAGGCTCATTTCATTTTCCCCCATGTGGTTTCTGCTGTTTTCAGTACCATTTCCTTCTGGACCGGAAGAGGAGGAAGACCATTTTCTCTAGTCACTGAAGAGTCCCGTGGCACTGATGAGCCTGACGAGAACCATGCTTCTTCCTGGGGGGTGGGGAAGGAAGACACAGACTGCAGGTGGCCTCTGACAAACTCCAGATAAGCACAGAGCTCCCCCCTTAGAGCAGCTAGAAGGAGCTGAGGTGCTAACCACACCCACCGATCGGCCGAGCTTCCCATCCTGCCCCAGAGCTGTGTCTGTGCACTGGGGGTTTCATGTCCCCCACACAGACCGTAAGCTCCTTGAGGGCAGGGACAGTGCCTTATTCATTGTTGAACTCGTGCATGGCAGCACATTCGTGTGCCGGAGTGAGCGCTGTGACCCGTGTGTGCGGTGCATGATGAGTGACTGGTCCCCCACGCTGTAAGGCGGGCTAATCTAGCTGTCCCCACTCCCTGCCAAATCTCAGAGCTCTAGATATTCACGCACTGGTGCCTGTGGTGAAGCACGCACTTTAATATGCTTTTAACACTAGGTGAGCAAACCCGCAGTGAAGCTGGGCGCCGCATTCTCCCGGGGCTGCGTTCCATGCGGGCGGCTGGGAGCTATCTTCTGTCCATCCGGAAGGGCTGAGCAGGTGGGGGCCCTGAGGGACCTCTCAGATACATGTTTTCCTCTAACTTCTGTGGTCAAGTAGAGATTCATTCTTTGGGGTTGAAAAAAGAGTTTACAGTGAAAGGAAGGCCTAATTTATGGAAGCACCTTTACTCATTAGTACCTTCTCGTAAAACAGATGGACCAGATTCCCACCTCTGCCTGCCTCCGCTAACTTAGGGTAGCCCAGGAGGTTTGCAGGGGAGAGCACTGCAGGGGAGGGGTCTAGGCTGAGAGAAGACAGGGTGCAGAGGAGGAGAACCTGAAAGAGAGACAAGAGGACAGCCACTGCCCTTCCAGGAGTGTCACTGAGGGTCACTGGACTGCCCCACCCAGAGGAGCAAGGCAGCGTGAGGGGCTGAATCCAGCACACCTGTCCCTGGTGCAGAAGGAGGTGTCGCCAGGAGACCCTGGGCTGGCTCGCCCCTCTAAACCTCATTCCATTTCTTCTTCTGACCTTGCCTCTAATCTTTAACCCTCGGGGGTACCCCTCTGCGCCTTCCTCTAGAATCCGAGTATTCCTGTTTCACATCTGCCCCACATCTTTGCTGTGGAATTAGGACATCAAACCAGAGTCCTCCTCACCTGATTCCCAGCTCCAGAAGGGCCTGCCCTCACCAGCCCTGTTCCCAGTTACACTTTCAGATCCCTTTGTGCTCAAGATCTCAGAGGGGATGACTTTGTTCAAGAGCCTTTGGTCTTAATGCTACCCACACCCCAGTGTGCCAGAAGACGCCAGCTCCAGCGTCAAAGGTCCCCCTAACCTGATTTCATTCCCAACGGGATGGTGCTGATGTTATCAGGGTTCTGAAGTCCCAGCATAGCCCACTCTTCACATAGTGCCTTACCCATGGGGGTCGTCACAGGGTCCCAGTTCAGTCTGTCTGCACAGCAGCCACCCTGCCAGGCCACAGGAGACCCCCGACCTACACAGTGAACCACACTGCCCACCAGCATCCTCCAGGTGCCTTGTGAAAATGGGGGCCACCAGGGGGGGTGACTGGTGGCAGTATGGCTTAGCACTGAATTCAGCTTGTCCTGAGGTCTGTCATTCCGCTCTCTCCAGAAGGGGTTTGGGCATTTTACAACTCACCACTGCCAGGTCGGGTGGGCTGCACTCACTGCGGCCTTTGTCACAAAGCCAGTCGTGGCCCTCGGCTGCATACGTCATAGTAAACTATTCTTCAGTATTTAGTTTTGTCACAAGAAATCGATCATTGTACTACTCACAGCAGTTAAACAGCATAGAACTAAAAAGCCTGCATTTCCACTTTTTCTTTCTGTATGGTTGTGGGTTTTAGGACATAGGGCATTAGGAGAAACTTTTCCTGATCATGTCAGAAGTTCTTCTTTGTCCCTTTTCTCCTGTTTCATTTCTCCTCCATCTACTGTCTATTACCTGAGCTGAAGCATTGTATCTTCAAGTCCAGACGCGCATCTGGAGACACTGCCCATTCCGACTCGTTGGCTCTTCTGATTTATGCACAGATGGTTCCCAGCATGCGTCCAGTGCTTTGTGGATGGGACCATCATCAGCCTTCCGGCCAGTGTCCGAACCCAGGGCACCCTGTCCAACCATATTTAAAGATTGGGATTTGTATAAAGTTGCTTCCAAGTTTTATAATGCATCATTTTTCATCTTTCGTAATTAAAAGCAGCACAATGTGGTTGTCTCTGCATTTGGTGGTGTTTTTCATCACTTGGGTGAGGGCTTGCTAGGGAGCCTTGCTCTCTCACCTCCTGCTCGGCTCAGCTGGGATTTGGGGAGGCAGGCCCTGCAGCAAGTCAGACTGTCTTGGAGGAACACCCAGTTCCCTTAGCGGGAACTGACCCAGCCCTCTCCCACCACCGGGGCACCCACGCCCTCCTCTCAAGGCTCTCATCAGATCACGAGAGGCCTTATCTCCTCCCATCCAGGCCATAAGGGCCAGCTCCCTGCATGTCCCACCTCCTCCCCATCCCGTCCCTCTGCCTTATGAGATCCCATTTCCACATCAATCTGACATTCCAGGGCCTTCTACGTAGCCCTCTCTGATGGTGCCTCCCCATCAGCCTGTGAAGATGCCCAGTCTCCTCCTTCCTCAGAACAAACAGCTGACACCTCTTCTCCACACCCCCCTCCCCTGCCCACTACCCTCATGCCACAGCCCTGTGTCCTGATTAGCTCCCTTCTGCCCGCAGAGGAGGATTCCCTCCTCTCCTGCCTCTGTCCAAGGCCGTTTGATGTCAGCCACATCCTGTGGCCCTTCTAGACACAGAAGCCCTTCTGGCCTCTCCTCCCTCCAGAATCCTCTCTGGCTCCAGCAAGGCTTTTCTCCATATGCTACCGCCCAGGCCACGCCTGCTCCTACCATCCCCCATCCACCGTCCCAAACCACAACCTCCAGCCCTCCAAGGACAAGACCCTCATGCTTGGCACTCTCCCTACCTGCCTGTCAGCCAGGGCTCAGGCCCACTCCACGCCTTGTTCTCTGGAGACCCAGGACTCCACACTCTGCAAGCACAGGGGCCTGCTGACGTGAATGCCACCTCCCCAGCCCCTGGCACACAGTAGGCTCGAAAACTGGAAATTCTTTCCAACTGTTGACAGCAGCTTCCCTCCCTTGAAGCTCAGCCCCCACCACCACCACCACCACCATCAAGCTGGAGACCAGCTGCTCTCCA